CACTGTGATCAGTGGGAATTTCAGGCCTGGACTGAGAAGAGGGATGCCACTTGCAGACAGCCCTGGCCCGAAGCCCTAATTCTGTCCTCCATGGACACCTGCTGTCACAGCCCTCTGGGCATAGTGCCACTCACAACTTCCGGTCATTAACCCTTATTCTCTCTCTTCCCCCCCCACCACCACCCTCCTCCACCCTGTAGGCAGCAAAAGAGACCTTGGCCAAAGCTGTGTTGGCGGAGCTGCCCCAACAAGTTGTGCAGTATTTCAAGCATAAAAACCTGCCCCCCACCAACTCGGAGCCCGCCTGAGCTCCGGTGCCCAGCAGCAGCATGTCGGCTGAGCCTCCCGCCCTCCCCCAGGAACATGCATGCTCACCCTGCTTCCTTGTGGGTGGCCTTTTTTACCAATCCAGATCCACGTTTTTATTTTTTACAACTGGACCTCCACCCCCAGCTTCCTCCAGCCCAGCTGGGCTTCCTTTGTTGGAGTCAACTGTTGATGCTTCCAGGCCAAACCGGCTTCCTCTTCTCCCCTCCCCACCCTTGCCACTCTTAAGTATTGAATGTACTTTGTATAATTTTAGTGGGACTATTATTGTTATTGAGAATAAAATTTTTACAATCATAACTGGCTTTTTCCAAGTAACTAGCTGCACACTCTGATGAAAGGAACGTGTCCTTGGTGTATACTTCGTGTCGTAGCCTGCACCTAATTCCTGCTGTTTTTTGTTTTTTTTAATACTGTGACTGTGTTCTATTTGTTATATACTCAGGGTAATAAATGAGTTTCAGACGTCCCTGTGTCAGCTCCGTCCTCAGCAGGGACCTGACAGGCCCACTGATCTGAGAAAGGAAATGTAAGATGAAAATCCACCCCACAAGCCCGCTAAGTTGGTGTAGTCGCTTCTGCATGGGGACATGCATTCCACGTGATAACCTGTTAAATCACTGCCAGCTAGCAGTGATAACCTGTTAAACTGGCACAGAACCTGGCACACTGTACAAACTCAGTAAATACTTGTGGATGAATAGAATGTGCAAGCCCACACCAGTTTCTGGTTGGTTCCACTCAGGTGCAACCAGTACCACATATCCCTACCCCACAACTGGACAGCAGTCCCAGCCACCCATCTGCCCCTACTCGGGACCCCCGGGTGTTTCAGTCAGCCACTGGAGGTCTATGAAAGCCTCTCTGGCCTCAGGACCCCAAGTGGGGCTGCTTTTGACCCTGTTGTTTCTACCACATCCCCCTCTCTGGGCTCAGGCCCAATTTTATGATACCTGCCAGTGGACCCCTGAAAGTTCAGCCCCCCTCCCAGGTCACCCCTTCCTTCCACATAACACCTCTTTCTCTTTTATCCACCTGAATGACCCCTGCTTGGAGCTCCAGGTAGCCCCTTAGACGCGGGCTTCTGTGTAAGCAGTAACAGCTAACCTTCCTGTTGAGCACAGTTTCCAGCTCCGTGGTCAGTGTTTTGCAGGCATTTTTTGAGACTCTCATCGAGGCTGGAGTGCAGCGGTGAGTAGCTGGACCACAGGCATGCACCACAACGCGCAGTTTTGTAGAGATGGAATTTTGCCGTGTTGCCTAGGCTGCAAGCACTATTTTGGTGAACCCTTCCGAGCCCTTGACAGTGACCATTTCAGAGATGAGGAGACAAGCAGAGAGGCGAATCACGTCTACTAGAGGCAGAGCCAGGTCTCATACCCAAGTCTGGCTGCCTCCGTGGCCCACACTTGCTCCAGTGCGTTGAATGCCTTCCCTTGGCTCTGGATGGGGTTATTCTGCTCAAGCTGCTAATGAATTTGTCACTCTGTGCCACTGACATTGGGAAGTCAATTGTCCCCACCTACTCTCCTGGTAATTCTTACTAGGGCCTTCTAGGATTGGGCACCGCAGCACATAGATTCCTACCTCTTAGTTCCTGATGAACTCCAGCCAGAGTTTTTCTGGTGGAAGTGAGTAAGGGATACTTTCATCCTAAGCCTCTGATGCCCCTACTGATTCTGTGGTCACCAAGAGTCAGCTGAAGGATCTGTTAGGGACACTTCTCTCTAGAGGGCCACTGGACTGCACAGAGCCCTGATGTGCAGACTCCCTTGGAAAACCACAGAGGACTGGCCCCCAGGCCGGCAACATGGGTGGAATCCCACTCCTTTACAGCTTCCTGTGGGAGTGACTTACGAGCTTGGTGAAACTAGGGAGGCTGCTATCCACTGGGCCATGTGAAGGCAAAGCCCCAGCCTTGCAGTGGGGGTCTGTCCCGCATGCTGCCACTCACAGGTCACTTCCTCAGGTGTGGTGGCTGCGGACCCCACATCCAGGCTTCACATGGGGGCAGACCCAGCCATCTCTGCTCTCTGCCTGCTCCTTCTCTGCCTAAGGAGTGAATGGGTAAGTCAAGCAGGCCCTTTACTCCAGGCTGGCTTCAGTTCAGAAGGGAAAGGAATGTGTCTAAACTCTTGACAAGGCCAGCCAAATCACTTTTTATTTTTTTATTTTCGAAACAGAATCTCACTGTCACCCAGGAGGGAGTGCAGTGGTGCAATCTCGGCTCACTGCAGCCTCCGCCTCCCGGGATCAAGTGATTCTCCTGCCTCAGCTCGAGTAGCTGGGACTACAGGCACATGCCACCTTGCCTGGCTAATTTTTGTATTTTTAGTAGAGATGAAATTTCACTATGTTGATCAGGCTGTTCTTGAACTCCTGACTTCACGTGATCCACCTGCCTTGGCCTCCCAAAGTGCTAGGACTACAGGCATGAGCCATGGCGCCCGGCTCCAAATCACTTTTTAAAAAATCCAGGCTGTGGTGCTGCTACTTGGTTCCTGCACATGGATGGCAGGCTGAAAAGTGAACCTCGAAATTTAACTGGAAAGATTCCTTCACCCTTGAATCTCCTCCACGGAAGCCTGGGAACTGGCATTTGTTTTAAGTTCCACTGAAACCACAGAAAGCCGCACTTGGACTTAAAGGCTCAAATGAAAATTCTGGTTCTGTCACTTAACTACGCAACCTCAGGCATGTGCCCCTAGGAATCCTGATTTCCTGTACAATATAGGGAAGGGCTGCTCCACAGGACTTTTCTGCCCCAGAATGAAAGACACTACAGTCCACAAAAATAACGCACAAATGCCCCAAACACCCTGGCACATACATAGCAAGCTCTCAGTATACACTGAACGAAAGAAAGCAACACAAGTAGTGATGTGCATGACTATTACTAAAACAGCAATGGAAGACGAGCCTGCAGTATAAAGCACAGGTGAAGGGCTGTCCCTCAGGTTTTTCAGCCTCTGCCCTCTGCAAATCTCTGATGCTGCGGCCATGTGCTGCCTGTTCCCGCTGTGAGGCTCCCTCTCTCCCTAAACCGATGCTCCGGCAGGTAAGGGAGCAAAATAGCCCCTGCCAGTGTCACTAAAGCACAAATGGATGACTGGTTTCTGTGTTCAACCTGTGACTACCAAAGTGTTGCCAAGATCCCAGCCTCCCACCGAGCAGAACTTGCATTTCATCCTGTGATGCGTAAGTGGGTTGGGCACGCGGAAAATACCCAAGTCCAAATAATCTGCACTGCCATAGAGCTCTGTTTTTCTGGAGGGGCCTAAGACGACAGCTGAGCCATATACCCACGGCTAGGACACCCGCGCCAAGGAACCGGGTGTGCCTAAGCAATTAACATTTAGCTAAGATGGAAGCATACAGCAAAAGCTGGTGGTTGGAGCTTTGACGACCAGATCTGACCCTTTGCCCATGCCAGTTTTCTAGCTGCAACTGAGGAAGGCCAGTGGAATGGATAAACCTGCATAAATCGCCACTAATGGAAGCTCTGGCTATGCCACCCAGAAACAAGGGAGGGCTGATGCAACAGCACCAAGGGTGGCCACCGTCTGTCAGATACCGCACACCTAGCACCTAATCTAGGTTATCTCTATCTCCCTAGGAAGTTAGTGTGTTATTCCTATTTACCAAGGAGGAAAGTGAGGTGAAAGGTCACACTAACCTTGCCCAAGTGACACAGCTAGTTATAGTTGGCTCCTAACTCATAACCACTATGGTGGAACTAGGCTGAGTTCCCAGGGAGGAGCAGCAGAAACAGCGTGGAATGGCTTAGACAAATGAAGATCCTCTCTTGGGTGGGAAGGAGGTAGCCAGAAGGGAAGAACTCAGGAGCTAGAGTGAAAGAAATGAGGATGCCTGGCACTAAGTCACCCAACTTAGGGGCTCCTGACTCCCAGTCTAGAATGATCCTGAAAAAACCTGAAGCCCCCTGCCCCACCCCCCTTTGGATTTGAGAAGCCAGCTCTGTCTCTTGTGTACTTAGATTCAGGGAAGATATACACGAGTAGGTAGCCAGCCACCTTTTTGGGTCTAGTCACATCAGCTTCCCTGCTTTTTATAGATGGAAAAATAGATGCTTCAAATTTCACACTCCCTTTCTCCACCTAGGTGGGTGACAAGCTAGATAATCCTCCCCAAACAGAGCTGGCAGTAGGATTCCTATTAGCTTTCTCCCTCACATGGTTGAAGAGTGGTAAGAATTCTACCACTCAGGACAAAGTAAGCAAGCTTAAAGGAAACCATGCCAAACTTTGTTTTAGTCCCGTACTTACCCAGTTATAAAATCCCAATTACTAAGGCAGGAGTACTACACTTTATGGTTTAAAGCAGTGTTTCCTTCCAGCCCTGTCTATTCTATTCTCCTTTGGGTTCGAACTTCAAGGTCTACATTAGATGCTTTCCAAGGCTGCTTCCTTTGTTGGTCAGGTCAGACGCTGCTTTGTTAGCTGTAGTTTTTACAGAAGCTGTGTTTCAGTTCCAGAGCTCTGTGCTAACGCGTACAATGGAACATGATGCAATGATCACCAGTGATTCTCAGTCTCTCCTGAGACACCAGGAAGAGAAGTCACAGTCTGGACAGTCTCAACCTTCTCAACACAATCTAGCTGAGAGAGATGGGGAGAGTTAGACACAATATTCAGTAGAGGAAAAACAAGATGTTGTTCTTTGACAGGTTTATTAGCTTTCATGTTAATCTTTTTAAACCCTGCAACCCTTTGTCAACTTCTTTCTCTATCAAGAGGTCATGAAGTACAGTAATGGCCTCTTAAGAGTCAAGCCACATAAAGATGGTGACTTTGATGCCCTGGTCTGCTGCCTTTAACAATGTGAGGCTGTTTTGGGAACATGCTGTAATAACAGGACTATCACAGGAACAATGAAGCAGAGAAGCAGAAGGTGCCTACACAGTTTTACCTAAACGTCTTATTTGTTAGGATGGAGCTGACACACGTATTGGCAGTCATGAACAATTAGCATAGAGTAGTTCTGAAACAGAGGAAGAATTCACAAGGCATCAGTTATGGGTGCAGGGAAGTCACCATCTGCCAACGGGCACTGGAGTGTCACTGCACTGGAAAGGGAAAAGGAGTGGGCTGGATGAGATCCAGGGGCCTCTCTGCCCACATTCAAAGTCGGTAGCTGCTTTGCCTGCTGGCATCACAGTGTCAACACATTTTGTGTGTGTCTCGCTCAGTCTCACACCCAAGAAAGTAAAAACAATTGATGTAGGAACAAGGGGAATGGATAAAGAACGGTACAGGCTTATTCTAAAGCAGGAGAGCCTACAGACTGTTGTCAAAGCTCATGTCTGCCTCTGTCCTCGAGGCCTCCACACCCTCTCCCCCTCCCTCCTCCAGAATCCAAGGGTTGAGCCTGTTTCCCTTTATGAGACGAGATGGAGGAGCACCTCTAGTTTTTGGCTGCTCATGGCCTCAGAGTTGCTGTTTGGAAGGGAAAAAGAGCAGCAAGGGCAGCAAAGAAAAGTACTAGGGCAGCACCCTTAATTTAGAAATAGATTCCACAGTTAAAAGCACAAATATAATATGCATTAAACAGAGAAGGGCCTCGATAGAACAGTCATAATATGCAAGTATGTCCCACTAGTTTACAATATTTGGATTCCAGAAGCTGCCGGAAATAAGTCATCTCATTAACATACCTACCCACAGTTCTGATGTCTGGCTATGAGTAAACAAGGCCTACGTTTCTCTAAAATTTTGAATCTCAAACTAAATCCTTTATTTCAAAAACAAACATAAAATAATTTCCGAGGCAGAGAAAAGGTCTGAGAAGATGGAAGCTTTCTTGTTAGCAGTTCCTTCCTGCATAAATGGGGTTGGAGAGAGAGGGGAGAAGGAATGGCCAAGGGTGCGGAAAGCCTTCACAATGCATGCCGAGTGTGAAGCGACACCCCCAGCAGATGGGGTTTAGCATCTCTACTTAGTCACACAACATCAAGGACTGGTTAGTTCCAGGGAAGGGCTCCATTTCATCACCTGGGTCAGCTTTCTTCCCCCACATGCTCCACAATGCAGTAGAACCAAACAGCACATTCATCTACAATAGAATGTTTAAATAATACCTGTCCAATAACTGCCCTTACTTTTTTGTGCTGTTGGAAAAGGAAAGAAAAGAAAAAAACAGAAAGCAATAAAACCCAAACCCTTTGGCAAGCCAGCCGGTGCCTATCCTCCTAGGGCATTTTTAGTGGAACTTCGGCTGGGCCTCGCCCTCCTCCCCATGTCTGTGAGGAAGTGGCAGCGGGACAGGTTTGGTCATCTGCACCAGAGTGGAAAGAGAAACCAAACACGATTCGGGCCACAGGTAGATTCTGGCACATTTTTAGATTGGGTTGGTTAAAAATGTCACATTGTGCACAGGACGCAGGCAAAGGAGTTTTTTTTGAGGGACATAATGTCTGTAGGCAGCATGAACGGTCCGATCTACCCTTGGGGAGGAGTTTCCAGCTTAAGCACAGAGAAACTAGGGGGCCTCGAGGAAGGTGTTGGTTCGGAAGATGGAGGAGACGATCTTTCCAGTGGCATTGATGGTGCCTTCGCTGTCTGAGCTGGACTCGGAGTCGCTGCTCCCAGAGTAGGCGCCCAGGCCTGGGAGGATGCCGATACAGACTGCAGCAGAGGGGCAGTGGATGGAGGGGCCGCTCAGGGAAGTGTTTCCGAGAGACTTGCAGGATGAGGCCTCTGCAACAAAAGGGGAAAGACTATCACTTCATCACCCTTTCCCAAAGTTGAGGACTGACATACCATGTGCCAGGCACTGTACCAAAGGCTTTTCCCACAGAGAAGCCTCAGAACAACCCTATGCAGCCAATACTATCATTGCCCTCGATTTAGAGACGGGGAAACTGAAGAAGGAAGGGAGGCTCCAGGAGGTGAAAGGACTTCTGAAAGTAAAGGGGCAGAGCTGAGACTTGAATCAAGGTCTTTTTAACCCCAGAGCCTCACTATACTCTGTTGTTCTCCACCAGCTCTGAGTTGCAGAACAAGCTACTTCAGAGTGTAGCCTAGAGTGCTTTGATTTCCCTGTGCTCACACAACCGTGAAATGGACACATGGGTGGGGGATGAAAGGCTTCCACATGCCCTCAACAGTAGGGATGAAGACAGCTAAGAGAGACACTGTGAGCAGTATTAACAATTCCATTAACTTCTCAGCATATTATGCCATTCCTTACTTACTGACCAATATGCCAGCAAGCACAGATACATATTGAAGGCCAAACAGCAGCTACACAATAACATTTTCTTTTAAAAAATGTTAAAAAACTGGAGAGCCCCCACGACTGGAATAGACTCAGAGGGACTCAACAGAATAATGTTCTATATTAAGGGCCACTTTTCCCTGATGGGAGAGAGGAGTGATTCAGAAACTGATTTAACACAACCTTTGCTTTCTAGTTGTATTCTTTTACAAATGAGAAAACAGAAGCCTGTCAGGTAACATTTTTTTTTTTTTTTTTTTTTTGAGATGGAGTTTCGCTCTTGTTACCCAGGCTGGAGTGCAATGGCGCGATCTCGGCTCACTGCAACCTCCGCCT